CTTATGTATTTATCTGACCTCCTAGATTAGGTGCACGCCTCTTCTACCGGTACCTTGTTGGATAACCCATGCTAATATGTAGTGTAATTATAACTACCCTCCCGATTAGACGACCTCTTCTAAAAGGGCACTTGTTTGAAACCCCCCTGCTCTAGCTGTAATTGTAAATTGATGCCCCTCCTCGATATGGACGAAACCTCTCTCAAAGGCCACTTGTTTTAACCCATGCTAATTCTGTATTATTTATTATCCTGACCTCCGGATGGGGACCACCTCTCTACAAAGGCACGTGTTTTGAACCCCATGCATACTGTATTTATTATACTTACCTCATCACTAATAGGACGACCTCTTCTACAAAGGACACTTGTTTGACCCATGCTAATACTTAGTGTCTTGAATCTGAATCTGACCTATCTCTGTATAGCTGACCCTCCGAGATAGGGACGCCCTCTCCCACCAGGGACACTTGTTTTGAAAAACCCATCTAATATCTGTAGTGTAGTTATCTGACCACAAGACGTCCGAGATAGGGACTACCATCTCTACAAAAGAAACTTCTTTCAACCAAACTGGCAAATAGTCTAACTCTTTACAGAGCAACACTAGAATATCTTTTCAAGCCCCTATGCTAAATCCACCTTTAAGCTGTATTATATGATAGACCGCCGAGATTATGAGGTAGCGACCTCCTTCTACAACTAGTGCTAGCTGTAGTTTTAGATGTTTGTAGTTATAGAACTACTACCATGCATACACACTCATTATTGTATTAATCTGACCACCCTCGTCTAAAAATCAGCAGGTGACAAATATCCTTCAAGGGCCCATATAACAATGTCTACCTATGTAGTAAGTGACACTTACTACGATGTTATTCTCTACTAGTGTGGTGTTACAGAGCTTCGGTTGCAGACAAGCATCTATTCTAGAAGAGGAGTCACAGCGAGTAACACATACAAACACACATAGATGTTACAAAAAAAAAAAAAAAAATGCTCCTCGCCCTTACGTCGATGACTAGTATACACTACATACACATGTTATGACATGCTGGGTCTATGTTGTCTCATGTGATTCAATGCATTATATAGAGAACGGCGGGAAGCAAAGTGGAGGACCTTCCTGAGTTAATGATATGGAGCAGTCGCACTCCACAACATGGTATCAAGGATCTGTAGTACTAAAAACAGTCCTAGCTAATTGCATCAAACTCATCCGGACCACCCCAACCACCACACTAACGCGTCCCTATGCCGGGGGGGGTCCTGCGAACACGACGACCCCTCGCCTAAGTACACGGGGGGACGACGCACACTTATTGTACTACTTCGCAAAAATTCCCAATACTGTCACCCACCCCCCCCCCAAGAGAGTGTCTGTTAACATTGTAACACTAGCTTAGCTATAATAAGAGAGTGTCTTACAGTGTAATACACTAGCTAGCCTATGAAGGTAAGAGAGCCGTCTGCAGCTAGCTAATCGTTTTGGCTTCTTGCAACTGCAGCACAACCCCACACCACTTTGTCAGGAGCTTGACGGCAGGTCTACCAGCAGGCTCTAGACCCTACAGAGTATAATACCATGCTCTTTCCGCCGTGGTAGGGGCGGTTATCTCACTAGATCGTATACTAAATCACGGCGGGACAAACACCCCACACTCACACGGCACGTCGCGCCAGAATGTTGGTGGGGGGGTTTGCGGCCGCGGGTCCCTTGTTGCGAAAAAAAATACAGGCACATGCGTGCGCAGAATTGGCAAACTGTCGGTGCGCATCAAATCGAGTTACCCGCCGGTGGACTCTGGAGTTGAATTTCACTTCATTTTCTCTCCAAGCGCATCGCCCCCCCCCACCCCCCCCCTCCATGAACTGTAATTCCACTAACACCAATAATATGCGTTTTTTGAGTGTGGCCTTTTAATAAACGTAAACAATAACACTGTGGTTCGAAGGCCTCGTGGGCGGGAGAAGGTCCGACCCCCCCGAAAACTTCATCAGGCAGCTCTTTCATCAGAGCTGCAGAAGCATTTTGAAGAAGTCGGGGAGTCCTGGGCCTTTTGAGGTAGGTTAGATATAATCTCTCTCAATGCATGGCTATGTGGAGATCACGTGATCCCCCTGCCGCAGATCGCTCTGCGGGGGGGGTGGGGGGTGGGTTCGGCTTTGTGACTCGGAGTGCAGTATCCACAGAGCAGTGGGCATAGCTATGTGGGAGGGAAAGGAGAAAAGGTGTGTGTTACGACATTCTGTTGGCAACCGAACTTAATATTCCTTGATGATTATTGTACACCTACATCCCATGTTTTTGAACCCCCCTTATAATTCAACCTTTGGACCCTTTTGTTCCACAGTTTATGAAATTTCATGGTTTATTAACTTATATCCACGGTTTCTATACAAGAAAAAGGTGTATGAACCATTAGAGTCACATGATGTATGGTTTTTAAATCCTGGAGCCGTTATGGTATGGGTTCGCTCTGTCAGTTTCATGATTTATGGACCTTATACCAATTGGATAATCTATTATTAGTTTAACCTCTCCCCTCTCCTCCCCCTCCCCATCCTTCCCCTGGGGGGGGTTGGATGTTGTAGTGCTTTGGTTACTTTTGTTCCTTTATGTTTATTTTTAGTTTTCTTTTTTTTAGCGGGTTGTCTCTGTGTTCCTCTTGCAAGTTCCCTATTATCATTTTGTGCCTATTTTCTCCAGGGTGAGGCTGTCTAAACACTACCAGAAATTACACTGGGGTAGAGATGGAGGGGAGCTGTGTCCGACCTAACTTGTTCTCGGTAGGAACCGTGTATGGGTTACTATAACCGCTAGATAAACTCTCTCCCCCTTGGAAAATAAGTGTAACCTGTTTATGCACTCAACCGAGTGTTTCGCCCCATTTGTCTGGGTAAGGAAAACATTTGTGTTCAGTCCCCCCTTATTTCATTTAGGGGGCCTCCCCCCTTGATTAACTTTCACCTTCACTTAGAGGGGTTTACCCTCCGTCTTTTTCATTACACACATGAGCCCGCGTGCTCCAGCGATACGAGGCTCCGCCTCGCGACTCCTCTTGTATCAATTTCTAAATGAAGGCCGGGCGGTAACTGCAGTTTGTTTTTTTTGCCTTTCCCTTGCTGTGACCTCAATGGCACACCGACTAACACTTTTCACGAGAAAACCCTTGGAACGAAGTGTATTACCTAATATCTTTCAAACATGTATGTTTTCATTGACTTTCTGGCTACACTGTCAGCTCCAGCTACTATATACAGATAGTCCAGACACAGCTAGTACACGGTTACTACAATTTTTTCCGCCAATGCACTCATTGGATTCATGGACTTGAACCCCTTTGAATTCTTACCCTTTTATAAGGTCTGGAACATTGAAAAGTGCCCTTGAAAGTATGTTATGATACAGTTTTCATGTCATTTTTCATCGGTGGCAGAACTTGTAGTACAAATCCTGTTTTAGAAGTTTTAAACTTCATTGGAGGAGAAAGCTAGTGATAAGATGTTGAATGATAGCTGGCTGATTGTAAGTGTGGTCCCACAGGTCAGAGAGGGGTGTTCAAGACGTCAGGAGGACTTCCAGGTTGTGTACCCTCAGTGGAAGACAACCCATGAAGACAGATTTAGCCAAGATCTTTCATCACAGAAGACTATGGTACATCTCGTACCGTACCATTAGTAACCCCATACATCCCATGATGAGTACCATCCCATTATACTAGTAAATTACGTATCGTCCCTAGTGCGTAATGCCTATGCGAAACACGACATTCGTGTATTTAACAATTTGCTTTGTAATGTACACACCTGTGTGACATATACACGAGTAGTATTATTTTGGGCCATGTAACCATACGAAATGTACACCAACAACAACATCCTCTGTAAAACTACGCACTAACAGTTTCTGTCTCACAATTTATCACGCCATTCCTTGCGCCGGGCTCTTCAGTGGCAAGAGAAAGAGAAAGGCTGGGGTTTGCCAAATGTGAAACTCCCCCTCCCAGCAGGTCCTCGACTTCTCCATAAGTCCCGAGGAAGAAGAGTGTATACTTGTATAATGATGTTGAATGTACAAATTACTGGGATTTTCAGAAAGTTGGGGATGTGGTATATATTACATACACACCAAAACAGTGAGTGCCAGGTTTTTATCTCCTTCCCTAGAAGAGCCACAGATATAATACGAGGCTGTAATACGTTGCATTATTGCTTTATTCTGAATTTCTCAATGTCGCAGTCACCGTCATGACTAGTAGTGATGTTGAAGTCTGAAGGAAATGGCAGCAAAGTCAAAGGAAGAATTTCGCGGAGTCGACATTTCCTCACCACCGAGTGCCCGAGGGGCGTGGCCCTCCCACACTGCCACGCCCCCCGACTGGTTGGACGCTGACAACGCGGGGAGTGTGGAGGTGGCACAACTGGCAGTGGCCTGTCAGACTCGCTACCACATTGTGGCTGGACGAAACACTTCTATGAGAGAACTCCTTACAGTACAGTAGTACACACAACCCTCCCTGCTGAACCATTACATATGTCCCCACTGACTCACCCCACTGCATATGATTTGTTATCCCCACTGACTCACCCACTGCATATGATTGTTATCCCCCACTGACTTCACCCACTGCATACGATTTGTTATCCCCACTGACTCACCCACTGCATACGATTTGTTACCCCCACTGACTCCCCCACTGCATACGATTTTGTTATCCCACTGACTCACCCCACTGCATCGATTTGTTAGACCCCCCACTGACTCCACCCACTGCATATGATTGTTATCCCACTGACTCACCCACTGCATATGATTTGTTATCCCCACTGACTCACCCACTGCATACGATTTGTTATCCCCACTGACTCACCCACTGCATATGATTTGTTATCCCCACTGACTCACCCACTGCATACGATTTGTTATCCCCACTGACTCACCCACTGCATACGATTTGTTATCCCCACTGACATCACCCACTGCATACGATTGTTTATCCCCCTGACTCACCCACGGCATATGATTTGTTATCCCCACTGACTCACCCACTGCATACGATTTGTTATCCCACTGACTCAACCCACTGCATACGATTGTATCCCCACTGACTCATTATGAACCTTCTGAATGTGGGGAATACTCGTCTGTTTAAGAGTTTGCATCTCTCTCTCTATTGTATGGTATGATTGTTCAGGAATCACCAAGTACTGCGAGGGCAGCAACTGCATGTCACCAGATTCATTGCTCTGGCAAATGTCGGAAATCCAGACAAAAAGAACAGGGTACAGTGCCATAGCCAACATGGAAACATTCTGTTCCTCTCCTCTCCTTCTCCTCTCCTCCACCTCTCCTCTCCCTCTCCCCTTCCCTCTCCTCTCCCTCTCCCTCTCCTTCTCCTCTCCTCCACCTCTCCTCTCCCTCTCCTCTCCCTCTCCTCTCCTCCACCTCTCCTCCCCCTCTCCCTCTCCCCCGCTCTTCACTAGTATCTGTATGCCTTCAACATCACACCGCTCACCGAGATGGATACACAAGAACTGGTACAACAACCTCCAGCCATTACCAACTGCCCATATCACCATCTTCTGGGGACCAAGGTGTATAATTGTGCCACGTAGGTTGAAGCATGAAAATGTGCACATCTCACAGAACCGCACATTATCCAAGAACACACCCAAGCCTTTCTGTGCATGCCCCCAATAATGATATAACATGCCCTGCCTTGTACACTCCATGGTAGTCCATGTTGTAACCTCCGAACAAGGGACGCTATGAGGCCAATGATTTTGTCCCTTGTAGAGAGGTCGTCCCTGTCTCAGAGGTCAAATAATACACTAAAGTATTAGCATGGGGTTGAAACAAGTGTCCTTTGTAGAGAGGTCAAATGATACACTAAAGTATTAGCATGGGGTTGAAACAAGTGTCCTTTGTAGAGAGGTCGTCCCTATCTCAGAGGTCAAATAATACACTGAAGTATTAGCATGGGGTTAAAACAAGTGTCCTTTGTAGAGAGGTCGTCCCTATCTCAGAGGTCAAATAATACACTAAAGTATTATATAGCATGGGGTTAAAACAAGTCCCTTGTAGAGAGGTCGTCCCTATCTCGGAGGGTCTCAGGTTCCACTGTATTGTACATACTGTAGAAGGGCGAGGGAGATGTGGAAGATGGAGGGGGACAGCAGTTCTTCTTTGATCAGAAGAGTCTGGACGTTGCTGGGAGGAAACGCAGACAACAGCAGGAGGGTCGCGGAGGGAAGAGGAACAGAGGAGGTCAGAGGTCACTGAATCACTCGGGCATGTTTCAATCCATGTCTGCTTACTTTCTGCTACTTTTTCCACTCTTTGGGTCACCAAAGCCCCACCCATTAGCATAAAAAGGTTGCCGGGAGCATTGCCACATACCCCTCATGGGGTGTCCTCTGGACTTTGCCCTCTTCTCCTCATTTTCTGCTTTATATGTTTTCCACTCTTTGTGTGTTTGTCATTTCATTTGAACATGTTCGAATCATCCGTCCTCTCAATTATCTCGTTTTGCACTCTCTTTTCCCCTTTCTATCCTCTCCCCATTCTATCTGTATTCCCTCTCTCTACCCTCCCTCCATCCACACACCCTCACCCTCCTCTCTCTCCCTCACTCCCACGATCCCTCGCTCCCTTCCCTCCCTCTCTCCCTCTCTCTCACCTCATCCCCCTCCTCCTCCCTTCCTCCCTCTCTCCCTCATCTCCCCCTTCCCTCTCCCTCCTTCCCTTCCTCCCTCTCTCCCTCATCTCCCCCCTCCCCCCTCCTCCCTCCGCCGTCTCTCCAGACAGAGGAGTACCAGATTATAAACAGTCGGCCCTCTTCTCCACTCCTCCCTCTTCTCATTCCCCTCACACCTCACACACTCCCCCGGCTCCCCGAGGTCCCTGCTGGTTCTGCCTCGGCGGCCCTCAGGTGGAGAAACATCTTGTCATCACTGTTGGAGATCATGTGAGACCATCTCCATCACCTCAGTTGATATACAGTGGGAAAGTGTGATGATGAACTGACTTGGGGAGGGATTAGAATTTCACGGAGAAAACTTTCCCCAACCTAACAAATACTTTTTACCATTCGTCAAGTGTGTCTTAGAATGTCGTGGGTTCAAATCCCACCCAGAGCAGCTCTTCTTCTTTTCTTTGAAAAGAAAGAGTTGTCCTGGGTGTAGTTGACTTGTTTGCCTTGGCCTTGCCTTTCTACCTCGTTACCAAGTTGTTGAGACATGTAAAGGTTCTTGTTGGACTGTAACAATCATTCTCTCTCTCTCTCGAGCATGCGCAGTACACATGAGGTAATGCACGACAAATGAGGGTGTGGCATGAGAGTGACAGTGCGCGTACATAAGTCAATGTATATAGTACAGCGACACAGTCAGTATGTATGATAGGCTACATTACTACAAACAATTCGCCTCAAGTAGTTATCCCTTACGCATCAAATTGCATTATCTAATATGCTGTAAAAGTGATCAGAGTTTAAAGATGTGCATTGTCGCTTTATGCATTCTGCAGTGTATTATTCGCTGTGTTTATGTATGTATGGTAGAACCGTCTCTAATGACATCATTGAAATGTGGATAAGGACACTTAGGCCTAAATCTGTGACGTTTTGGCCTTGAAAACCTTACTGACTAACTTGGGAAAACTGACAGGAACATCGTACCCCTCTCTCTCCTCTCCCTCCTTGTTTCAAACCTTTGAAATAGGTCGTCCAAACCCTTGAAGTAAGTAGTCCCCGTTGGTGTCCTGATTAGAGGGTTCTCTTCCACTCACTGTATTGTTCCACTCACTGTATTGTTTTGTGCAGTCATACTTGGCTCTGCCCAAGGGAGGGTTGGTTCCAGAACACGTCCTCATTCTACCAATAGGTCATCATGGAGCCTCCACCTCTACCCCTCAGGTGTGTGTACATATACTAGAGGCTAACATTATACAGAGATGTACAAACCCATATTTGACTGCTGAAGAAAGATTACCAATTGGCTAAACAAACGCCCACGTCCATTTTTGTGCATCTCTGATCTGCCTTCGTGGAATATGTTTTCTACTCGAAAGAGGTTATGCTGTGCATCCAGGTGCGTGTGTGTGTGTGTGTGTGTGGAAACGGGTTTTGGGCCACGAAATATGTTTTTCTTACTTTGAAGGAAATTTCTGCTATACCGTATGCAGCTATACTTTTGAAGGAAGCCTCTTACTTCAGGGCACACTAAGATTGGCAAGTGCAAGTTAGCCCACCTACGGGTATCATCCATACCCCACGACTGCCACAATAATGCTCCCTATAATAGAGACTGGGCTTGTTGTTTGAGTGGATTGTTTTGTGTGTGTGGACTGTTTCAGGAGGTGCTTGAGGAGATGAAGAGGTTCAGAGACTCCCTCAAGAGATACTACAACAGCAAGGACCAGTCGTGCATCAGCTTCGAGAGGAACTTCAAATCACAGCATCTGCAGATACAGGTACGTACGTGTTGCTGCTCTAAATGCAGTTGGCTGTCTTGTCTGTCCAATTCTACACGTTGTATGTAACTACACCATTCTAAGACCCTAGACTCCACCCACAAGGGAAGTTGTTGGATATGTACACTAAACTACCACACGGGTATATATAGTCTGCGGACTTTCACACAATGGTCTGTGATACTCTCTATGGCTGTTGTGTGAGTGATCGAGAGAGAGTGCATATACATACCTGCGTACAAACACTGTGTACAAAGTAACGTGACACGCACGTGATGAAACTCTGTAAAACAACCCTTAATCTACTAGCAATTTAAACGATGACGTTTACTAGTAGATTACAAGTTGTTTTACAGAGTTTCATCACGTGCGTGTCACGTTACTTTGTACACAGTGTTTGTATGTATATGCAGTTCAATATATCTCTCTATCTCTCTTATATACTCTGATACGTCCCTTATTTTCTCTCCCTACTTCTCCTCTCTCCCTCCCTCCCTCTCTCCCTCCCTCCCTCCCTCTCCCTCTGCCATGTTTCAGGTGGTGCCAGTACCAAAGACACCAGAAGCGGCTCTAAGACAAGTCTTCATAGACCACGGCAAGTCACTAGGACTGGAATTCACAGAGATGGACAGAGCCACTCCACTGACTGACGTGAGTGTAAAGACCGAGACACTATATACGCATGCGTACTCTGACTATATATTATGCGATAAATAAAATCGTAGCATAGAGAGCCCACAACCTACTCTATGTAAGTTTGCCATGATGATGGACTACCAGCACTAGTCACCAACCCTAACGTGGGGCCAGTCTAGCACTAGCCAAGCCTAATGTCAGCTGCCATTGAATGTGCTGAGACTCGTAAGAAAGAGAACAAGACCCCAGCTGGTATATAGAAGCCAGGGGCGACGCAAGCGCTACTGGAGAGGTACCGGGGGGTTACATGAGCTTCCCTCTTTAACAATCTGGTGTAGCGAGGGGTTTAGCCCCTGTACAACGAAATGATACATGTAACTATGAACTTCCAACTATAGGGGTGATTTACACAGAAGTGTTGCAGTTACCCTAAAACGCCCGATCAAAACAAGTGCCCCCTTAAAAAGAGGTTCCATTACATGTCTCAGATGGTGCCTGTTGGTGCTCCATATTTCGTGGCTCACTTTGACGAGGGACCTCAGCTGTTTGTCCGCATCAGAGGAAGATTTCCACTCCAGTTTGGAAGGTGTGTGTTTCAGATGGTGTCTGAGTCACTGTTCTTTCCTTCCTCTCTTTTAGACTCTCTCTTGTCATCCAATCCTTCCCCTTCCCTCTCTCACTTTTGTCATGCAATGATGCAACACCTCACAAGAGTTCATTAAACGGCAACTACCTCAATCCTTTATAGTGCACAAAATAATTTCACTGGTCCCTATTGCCATCTTTAGCGCCTCGCTGTCTATACCACGTTCTGAACGCCTCTCTTACTCTGCATGTTTGTGTGTGTCTACAATAGAGCAACTACAGTACCTTCAGCCTGTAGCTTCTCCGTAGTGCAAAAGTCACGAATCTAATGTCTAAACCACATTTTCAGCACCTCTTCCTCCCAATGTGAGTGTCTATGTCCGCAACTTTTCCACAGTGCAAAAATGGCACATTAATATTGTGGCATTTGGCTGAATTATGCTATTCGAATTACACATTTTTTCACCGGGCCATTTTTTTGTAACATCAAGTTACCAAGTTCTGAACACCTCTCTTTCTCTCCATGTGTGTGTGTGTGTGTGTGTACAATAGGGAGGTGCTGTGTTCACCACTGCTACTGGCAGCCCCGCAGAGAGTGGACTGGAGAGAGTGCTCTCTCAGCAAGGAAGCGGAGACAGAGATGGCCGCCAAGATGAGGACCAACTTTGAACCTTTCGATTTTACAGATGATTTATAAACTCCACATTTCTCACACGAGTCACATTACTACTGTACACAGAACAAATTCAACACCGTATAGGTTAGCGCGCTCGTGAGTCACAAGCAGGACATTGCATACAAAATCATACATGTCCAGCTTTGCCAACAAAAACAAGACACTACCTTACTATTACATCACCGTTTTTAGTTGTTCAATACACAGTATCACTAAGTACGGTAGTACTTAGTATATAGGGATTGACATGGTACCTAGCATCATAGATGTATGGGGCTATGATAGGGAGTTTTGTTCATCTTCTTCTTCTTCTTCTTCTTCTTC